TTGTGAGCGGAACGGCAATACAATTGATGTACGAAATGGTATTTACAAGGTAAGCCAAGCTCAAAGTGTTTTAATCATAGAAGTCACAAATCACAGGATCAAAACAGCCAAAACTTTTAGTGGGTTGGTTATAAAGTATAACAGTAAAGAAACTTAAAATTGATTGGAAACGTACCATTGCTAACATTCATAACTTATTTCTAAACTCTGCGATCGCGACGAAACACGATGAAGCTATAGAATACTATAAATTATATTATTTGAGAGATCACAGGACTCCCAAGAACAAAAATCAATCAAGCTCATTTTTGAGGTGAAATTAATCTTGAAACACTGGTCTAGGATAAATTTGGCTTTTCTTTACATAATATATAAATCAGATACATGAMTTATTTGGATTTCCTGTCTCGTAARTACTTGCCCAATCAGAATTCGTCCTCCAGTATCTGATAGATCACYCCTTGTGCTTGGCGTATCAAAAGTACTGGCGCCAACCATCCCAAGAATTAGACCCAACAATGCCAATGAGACGACTAACAAAACCATGACACCAGACACAATGTAGATAATATTTCTAAAAATACAATTGTATTAGGTTGATGGGTTACCCGTGGTTCGGAAAAGTTCGGAATGATTTCGATTGGCCCACCCGTGGATGTGTTGCACTCTGTCGCACTTGGCTGGAAAAAAAGTACTAAATTACCTGTAATTATCATAGAGTATAAGATTACTRCCAGGCCGCAGGTATCCATCAATGTCATCTTTGTACGGCAGCAAGTTTTCGTTCAACATCTATATCAAGTAAAAATGGTAAGCTTACGTTCATTTCTAAAAGTACCAGTGGTGGTTAATAGCTTACTTCTTACGTGATTCTCTAGAAATACTGGAAGTTTTAACTATCTAAATATGCATTTAACCTCATCSATTTTGTCCTCCCATGGTTTTAGGACATCTATCTTGATATCTTCTAGATTTCGTGAGAAGTTCTTGATATCTGGAAAGTATGCAAGAGTCAGAAGAATTTTATAGTACTTATGATATAATAAGCATCATTTAGCTTATTGTTAATCTAACCTGATGTGAAGTTTGTTGCTAAGTCTTGTACTGTACTTGAAAGGTTTTTAAAGTTGGCCTTTCCCTAGAATAATGACATTGTTACCCAACAACCAAGTTGGCTTTATAAGCATGAATTTTGAGATCTATCAAGTCATATATATTGTTGACTCCAACATGCATTCTTGTTATCGTAAAAGATAACTGTCATGAGCCAGGCTAAATAGCATCAAAGTTATGTGACTGGTGATTTCCTGCGTCATAGCTGGGAATGAGGTTGTTGGTTTCACAATTCAAAGTATGGTCACATCCCTTCAAAATAAAAGGAGACCATTCTTATCATAATTTAACCAACCTTATTTGCTTCATCCGTCAAGTTACTGTTTACAACTTTTTGTGTTTTGATARTAGTTTCATTGATATTTGGGACTTGAGTAAAGTTAGCATCAGTATTTAAATCATTCCCATCTGGTACTGAATGGCATGCGGAGGTGCAATTTTTCGTTGCTTTGCTGATGTTGGTTTTAGCTTCTTCTAGCTTGTTTTGTATGGTAACTGCCTCAGAAACCAATGTTTGAACATTATCATTTATGTCTTCCAAAAGATGTAGGGATTTGTTAAGAGCTGGAAATGTATAACAAACATAAAAGTGTTAGCGATTTCTGCCCTTGAGGATTTGACATGATTTCAGAAAACAGAACACAAACACAGGCATGTGACAATGTTGTCTATATCTAATTACCTGTATCAAGTTTGTTAATGGAATTGACCAAGTTATCAACATAAGATGTTCCATTAGATATAATAGGACTGACTATGTTTAAGCCCAGCTCTAAAGAAAACAGAATATAATCAATGCAATCATAATAGAACTCTACMAGGAGTCATAAATTTATGATCAAAAATTAATTTATCTTTTGATAAGTTTCAACAATATTACTGACAATTGCTAAATCATAACTTACCTTATATGATCGTGATAAGAATGCTTTAAACAGGGCTGTGACATGGTATATTATTATGCTTGTGTTTTTATATGAAACTTTCTTATACCACATCATCCTATATACCATATATCATTAACACTGTCTTACTAATATAAGTGGTTATAATGAGGAACAAGTTGACATAGCTTATTCATAACCTAATGACACTCACGGGCAACTTTGTTGATGATATTCTGTAAAACTTGCAGCACATCAGATCCTAGAATATGGTTTAATTCCTGGAAATGGTTRAACAAACATCTTGAATGTTTTACAATTTGAAACCTACAAGCATGACACAAAATAAAGAAAACCAAAAAGTAGCTTGATACCTGAAATGTGTTATTTTTGTAGATAAAGATATCATCAAAAGCATAATGAACAGTTTTCCTGGTCTTTTGCAAGCTGCTGGTCATCCCATTAGATGAAACAAAAATAAGAATTGAACCAGAGCTACCAAACAAACAACAAACAGAAGATGAAACATTGCACTGGATAATRTGGAATCAATATTTGATAAGCAGAAACAGCTACAATGTATTGGATGAGCRCATGAAGAAGAAAGAGAATAGCGAAATMAAAACATGGCAGAAATGAATMAGTRATAAGCTGCTTTATAACTACACTGTGATGTATGAATTTTTGGTTCTACAGCCTGCATTTATTAACATTTTCTGTACTCACACCAAAAAGACACAGCTTAAAACAATGGCCAGAGTAAACCTTTTTCGTTTCTTTGTTGGACGGATATCTAAGTCTTTGTTAATTTCCATGTCCCCACCACATTTYCCAGCAAAGCGGCATATACATACAACTATGCTAACAATTGGAATTGCAATAGCAAATACTAAAGAAATAGCCATTAGACCAATAATAGGAGCCTCATAATCCATGACCTGTAACAGCAAGAACATCTAACATGATACACAGCAAAKAACGCACCAGGAAATGATGTTTTAATAATTTAGTCATGTTTAGTAAATTTAATGACTTCATCCATTTCTTGGAAAGTAAGACAATACGTGGAAAATACCAGGTTTTGATATTTGATGAATAATTGGATTAAATATAAACAATTTATAGCATAAAATCTGACCTGGTTAGTAGTAATTGACTTTGTTTTTGACGTCAGGACATTATTGATTATATCTAAACATAYAATAATGGGAAAATAATCACATTAAGTCTTAAAAGCATTAATAACACAGGTTGTATCTTCATAATTACCATAAGGCGGTTTATCCCGAAGAATGTTAGCGATTCCATATGCAATGTCCAGTAGACCATTTTCCCCTGTGTCAGCTGCATGTAGATTATATTCTGAAGGTTTCGGAAGGGGAGCATATGTGGTAGGATTTTCATTCTCTGCTTGAACTGTGCTCAATGCCGCAATAATAAAGAAAAAACATGTGACCGGAGAACAAAAGAGAGTCTTTTCAACGTTAATAGCCGACGACATCATATACCACACTTCACATTAGTTGACAACACTTTATAACAATTTGATCACAAACTCAGTGATCGGAACACACTTGGAGAATAAAATCACAAATTAAACWTTTGGTTTTCATGCCTGCCCTGTCCTGACTGGGAAGCCATTATTGTAAGACTATACGCTCTTTTGATTCTAGTGTTGAAAGAAAAAGTTCGTGTTGTTGACATTACAAGGGCTTACTTTTGAGACTCACAGCGTTTGGTGCTCGTTRACCAATCAGCGATCGATACAAAATGTCACGCTAATATCAAGCTTTATATATCTTAAACCAAAAAAGGAATAGTTCTTATATAGACTAATAAATATATTTTTAGAATTCTTTGTGAGATACAAGCCTTTCAGCGAAATAAAACCTGTAGTAAAAATTATTTCAGCAGTTAATTTGAAATATAATTTGTCTTGTCATGAATCATAGTTATAATAGCCTGCGTGAATTAAAAGTTTCATTTTCTGAAACATTTTCGTTTTGAGTAACTGGATAACTTGCGCATACTGGAATGATTCGCTTTTCAAAAAGAACTTTGTCTAATCATATATAACGGAACAAAGTTGCAAATATAAGTATTTTGGAAACTTGGCAAGCATTGGAAGACCTGAATTTCAAAATCTTTTAGTTTCTTTTTTTTTTTATTTTGGGTAAGGTATTTGTAGCTTGTGATATTACATAATAAACGCTCAGAAACAAAATTGCAATTTTGTCGACAAAGTCTTTGAAACAAAAGGCTCTTATCAAGTTTAGAAATATTGTACCCTTGCGAACTGAGGGTTTTTCCACTCCCTTCTTCTTTTTCCTCATTCTTAGATAGTGGAAAAATTGCTCTACTCGCAGGATAGAAATATTAAAAAGACAATAATCATCCATCTCTCCATCTCTCTACTTCTTGCCATTCAAATAAACAGCCGTGATAGCCTGGGGTCCAGTTTCAAGATGGCGGAAGGTCGAGCAAGAGTGAACAGAGAATTTCGCGATCGGCTGACAGAAAGAGTCCATGCAAACCTTCTTGAAGCAGGAAAACTAGCTCAGCAGCTTACTAAAAGCTCACGGTCCCATGAGGTACTGTAAAAAATGAACAATTCAATATTTTGTGTCATATATTCAATATTAAAGACAGGCTCAAAAAAGCTTAGTACTAGCTGTGGAGAGAGAATTTTATCATTATTTGTTTTCAAAGATTTTAAGTCAAAGCACAAAGCATTTTGTCAGCCAAGAAGCGTCACTTATGAATACAACCGAGGTGAGAAACGAAAGCAAGTTTATAAAGCCTAGAGGTTCTGTCTGTTGTACCATTCATTGTCTTTAACTGTTTCAGAAAGTTCAACATATGCATCAATTGACAGATCAAATGAAATTACAGTAAGTATATAGCTCCTCTTCCTTAGTATGCAAAACTTGTGAAATGAAAAATGTAGGACAAGAAATTGCCKTTTTAGTCTAGAGACTATTAYGTGCTACCCTCTCAAAATAAAAGACTTTATTTATTTATTTTATTTCATCCCCAGCCATCATTCATCCAATAATCTTTGTTTTGCTGACCATTTTGAGTATTTTTCTTCTCTGCAGGCAAAGGGATATACAACAATGGTGAGTAACACCTTTTGACATACTTTTACDAATTTTTATTTTGATACAGTATCCTGTCAGGATATCAAAGGAAATTCTAGATGAAAGCAGGCTATAGTGTGCAATACACTTTTGTTGAGATTGATCATGTTGTAAATGACTGTTCAGTTATTATTCATGTGCTTAAAGCCTATCACACGTTGCGTTATGTCTCATCTTTTAGCTTTCATCTGTTTCTCTACTCTATAGTAAAATACTTTTATTTATATTTTACAGCTTGCAGGGCGTTGAGTTTATAAAGAAACAGCTGGACTATGTGTGGGTTGAAGTGCCAAGGATGTGATTATCTTTAGACAACATATGAACAGATCACAGATTGTTTACCAAAGCAAAGCTATGATAAGAGTRAAATGCCATTGTACCAACAGAGCACATGAAAATAGAATTAAAGTGTGCCTTGAATGGACTAGTCTCCAAAATGAGAAATAGATGACAGAGAAATGCAAAGATGAGAAAYGAAATAGGAATGTAAAGTATGAAATAAAACGTGAAGTACAAACATAAAAATAAATGGAACTTAGTGAATGTAAAAAGTGTAAATAAAGTACAAAAAGTAATGATTTGTCCTGATTGTACGTGACGAAAAGCTCCATATTATGGGGTCCCTGTGGTTGGGATTTTTTGTGACGTCAATGAAACTTACTGAATTTATATCATTAATCAAAACAGCGATACTATACTATCGCTGCGTATGTTGAAGGAGCATAATTCTTAATTTACTAGTAATTTAAGTCAAGTATTTAATAGAGTCAGCTGAAAACACAAAACATACAGCTGTTGATCACGATTGATTTCCGAGATCCGAGGTTCTTGGAAAACTGAAACAGCTATAGAGGACTCGCTTATTTCRGTATTCGTATGAAATTGTCTACAGGAATTGTAAGTATATTTCGGTTTTTCTGAGGTCATTTTCAGTTTTACTGTACGTTATATTTCTATTATGAGGTAAAATCCTTTCAAAAGTTGTGAAAAAAGACCACGAGGCATCCATTTTCATTTTGTACAAGTTGGGTTTTAATAATCTCTGTGCATATTTGCGTAGTTTTCAAAAGGAAGTGAAATGATTATTCGCTTTTTGAAAGGAGCTGGTACGTAATTAGTCGGTCTATAATCGAAACAGGAGTGCCGCAACAGGGAATTTCCCTCCGTATCAACAGAGTCGTTGGAAGTGTAATATAAGCAGTTTTATAGAAACACATTTGATATTTCCTTTTACCAACAAGAATAGTCCCCTTCTTCTCATCCATCGAAACTAGACAATAACAGGCAAAGAATCATTCATTCTTCACCCCCTCCCYCCTCCCTGGTACTTATTCACTTGATGATGTGAGTGATTTATATTTCCAGGGACATATTACAAGTTGCCACCATGTCAGAAATAAGTCAGTATAATGACACCTCATCTTACAAAGTATCCACTGTGAACATGGCCTTTCTCTTCAGTATGTCTACTGTAACAGTGTTTGGGAATTGTATTGTACTACTAACATTGTACAAAGACCCTGCTAATGAACTGAGAACAGTATCAAACTTCCTGATAGCTAATCTTGCAACTAGTGATCTCATCTTGGGTTTAGTAGGTGAACCATTGTTTGCTATAAACCACTGGCTATTTAACCCCAAAGTGTACCTAGCATCCAGATACGTCATTGACATGTTTTTAGTGGCCTCTTTCTTGAGCATTCTGGCTCTGTCATTTGAGAGRTATTTTATGCTTAAGACTGCTGGTTTGGTAGAGAGCCGGTTTCGCAAATACCATGCTAAAGTTTGTGCTGCTGTTATCTGGACCTTTKCGTGTTTGGTCCCTGTGTCTGTAATATTTCTAAAAGAAAAAGACTCCAAAATGATAATGGCWTTTGGTGTTGGTTTTCCAGTTGGTTTGACCATGGTGTGTTTGTACATTAAAATCTTTATTGTCATCAAACGGGTGTACAGGAAAGATGACTGTAAGGCACATAGTATCCAAGAAGCAATACAAGACAGTGTTGAAAAGACAGCTCAACGAATAAGAGAGAGAGAACTCAAACTAGCTTGGGCAATATTTGCAGTGGTTGGGGTATTTGTYCTGTTTTGGATTCCAGGTATTATTGCAGATACTTTGGGTAAAGTCTGTCAACTGACATCCCCATGTCATCTTAGCAAAGMCCTGTCCGATATGATGGTTATTACAGGGTTCTTGAATGCTGCGTTTAACCCTATTGTATATTCCATGACTAACAAGAAGTTTAGAAAAGCTTTGAGGATGTTGATTTTACCTAAAACTTACAAAGGTGAACTTRTGCCACTGATTGCATAACAAGTTAACTGTTCACCTTGTATCACATAACCTTTTCAATGTCTGACTTTGGTTATCTGCTGTTCATAACACTATTAAATTAATTTACTAACAAGGTGCCAATAACATGCATTATGGAATTGTTTCTAAAACAAAGAAAGCACCCAAGGGATGGYAAATAGAGTCATTGAATCAAGAGTCAATCAAAATACAACTGTTTATTTTGGGTTTATCTTTCTACAAAATGTGACTAGACAATTGCGTACTGTTCATAGAGAAGATCACGTATCTTGTAGTAGTCATCACAAACTGCACCTTCTAGACCAACACGACCAGTTTCATTCTGAAATCCAATAACAATTATTTTATTAAGCACTTTTTGTATTTATTATAATTATTTAATTTTCAATTTAATAAAGCTATTTTTTKATTATTGGTGTCTGGCTACTGTGTTTTGTGATACAATATGACCAGCTGATCTATAATTGATATATAATTGATACCATACAGTTCATATGCAAATATTATACATGACTGTTTGACAAAAAAGTAATAAATGAAATTGAGTTCAGCTTAAGTTAATCAGGACAATTTTGTAGGTATTGACAAACTCCTTCGCTGCCACGATTTCCTCATTATTTCCTTATGCTTCCCTGATCTTGAGATCAGCTAATGTGTGATTTTATCTCTTCATACTTTTTGAACAATCCAAAAAGTTGTGGACAAAATTCTTTGTACCATTTATTTCAAACTTGCTCAAAATTATTAATATTTAGGTTTTCACACAATGTATAAATACTCACCCTTCGCACACAGACAACATTGTTACAGATGAGAACACCTCCAGCAAACTCTGCTTGGATACCAGCTTTATTGAGAACTTGTTTAAAATCAGACAGTCGAGGCTCATTAATAAACACTGATACATGACCAGTTACCTGAAAAGTAGAAACCAACAGATTGTTGATATTCTCTGCAATTGAAGTTAAACATTGAAGCAATCCTCAGTCAACACTAAGASRGTTTTMATTGTGGAAATTCAATTTTACACACTTCATTGTAAGAAGGCAGAATTTCTAACCTTTGAAGTGGTGACTTGCTCGAGTACAGGTACAGTGTCAAGTGCATCCTTCAATTCTTCATCAGTCTCCATTTTCTCATCCTGATTCAAACCAAGGTGAGACTGAGCCTCCTCCATGTGAAGCTGGCCATCRACCCARGCTAATTCAGCATCACGTGCTCTTGAAAACTGTAGTGAGCTGACTAGTGCATCACGCARCTTAACCTGTTGAAATGYACTTTATGACTCAGTACAATGACATACTACAATTACATTAAATGGTTTGAAAATGGCTGGGACAGATATTAAAATATTATGGTACATGAAACAGACAATAACCACGTCTTCAATTTAATCATAAAACTAATTAGTACCCAGTGATTTATCAGACTATTAATAGAATTTTTATATTGTATAACCTGAAATGTTAGCTGTTCATACGTCGATAGCATGTCTTATAAGTCCCTGCTGTGAACTCTGCTTCACCTGAAGGTTGAAGTATCAAGCCTTACCTGATAGATGTGCCTTTCACCAGTTGCCTCTACAGTATCACCGACAAATGGTATGAAGACTTGACTGACTTGTATACTATTGTTAGTAAGGCAGTACTCGGCCAGGTGCTCTGTGGCCTCACTGTCACCATGGATAAGGATCTACAAACAAATATACACTAAGTACTGTCTTGATCCACCAGGGTTAAGGTATAAAAACTCACCAGTTTACGTGGATTTACTAGAGTCAAAATGCGCTTGATCCACCAGGGTTAATGTATAAAAACTCACCAGTTTACRTGGATTTACTAGAGTCAAAATGCGCTTGATCCACCAGGGYTAAGGTATAAAAACTCACCAGTTTACGTGGATTTACYAGAGTCAAAATGCGCTTGATTGACTCTCCATCAGATCTTCCCTCAAARTCAATATATGTCCGGTTACATCTAGAAAAAACATCACAGGAAGAATGAGYCGTTGCCTCAAATCAACAAAAAAATAAAACAACAGCAAGCAAAACAGGAAGTACAAACAATTGAAGAAGACATGTTACCGGATATTGACATTTTTAAACTCTGTGATACACTTAGTTGGTAGTTTTGACAGGTCTTCTGTTGGTTGAAAACATAACAATCACATTTTATCATCAATACTGCATCAAGTGACAGTTATAGTTTACCTTGTGCAGAAGTCATATCAGAATCACCCATCTCTGGTTTTTGTTGCTCCTAGAAATGAGAATGATCAAAATATATAAYCCAGTGATAAATAGGATGCAAACAACATTGTTTTTCTTACTGTTTTATGCTTCTCTTCCTCRGCAGCTGCCATGTCTCTCATCATGTAATCTTCTGGCCTAAAAAAACAACAATTTTAAAATTAAAATATGGATAGTTGAATAACTTGAAGAAGCATATGAATAAACATGGTTCCTAATGAAAGAATTTGATTACATACTTGATAAACTCTCCATAATCATCCCATTTAAGTTTCTCTTCATGACAAGGGAACATCGGATATGACCTGGCTTGTTTGAAGAATGAACTCTTGCGACTTCCCTAAAAAGCAATCACGATTACCAACAGTCATAACATACAGAGAGAACATACAATCTATGGTAAACTGAGATAACCAGCGTTGAATGAATGTTGCTCYAGTGARAATCAGTTTTGATAAAGCATGATACTGACCTTCTCCAAAGACATCATCAGGTCATGTCTGTCTGAYGACTGCTGTTCATCATCACTATCACTATCACTCTCTTCCACTACAAGGGACCTAACAATAAAACATGCAATTTCAATCTGCAATTATAAGATATGGARCTCTAAAGAAAGGTGACCTGAATTAAAGGCTTAGTTTCTGAATTATTTCTTCAATAATGTTCGAAGGAAGAACTAAAACTATGCCCTTTGTATTTAATAATGTAAACAATGTACAAGTTTTCAACTAGCTTACTTTCTGGTTGAGCCATCCAAACCAAGTTTTTCTTTCTTTTTTTCTTCTTCTAAATATTGTTCTAGTTCTTCTCCCTCAAGCTTGACTCTTTTTTTAATCTGAAATAATAGACTTGATTACAAATGAGGCACAGTAAAATGGATGAATGAGAAAAAAAAAATACTTTGAACACCATAAATTATTGAACAAGATGATTACACACACACCTCTAAATCAACTTGTTTAGTTTCTAAATGATCAATCAATGTTCTTGCTAGTGTTCCTGGTGACGATCTTGCAGTAAAAACTATTGTATTCTTGGGATTTTCAGMCCACTCGACAAACAGGTCACGAGAAAATCCACATGACAAGTCCATCATGCTGGCAAGAACAACCTGAGAAAAGAAATAATTATTTAACTAGATACATACACCTAAATAAACTAACCAAAAATGACACATAAACAAACAAACATGATAATACACTGTCAAATCTGAAAAAAAAAACCAGATGTGATTAGAGAGACATTCTATGAATTTACCTTTGGTTCTGGTACTTTTGCTAAATCAGCTAAACTGTGACAAAGTTGACAATATCTGATGGACAAACACARCAAACAATTAAGTAAAACAACCTCTACATATCATAAAAATCATAATAATAAAAAACTAGCTACCTGAATTGATATGGGTTGTTTCTTCCAATCTCAAAAGCCTTCATTATCTTGTCACTCATCCATTCAACCTTGAAAGGAAAACAATGCCTCGATTTAAATTATGAGATGGGATTGATTTGCAAATAATGCATTACACCACTATTAGAACAGGTCAACCTGGCAATAATCACACATCTAACCTGAGATTTGGCAAATTCCACAACATTATAGCTGACATTGTTGAGCATTGCTAGTGAATATGCTGATAAACCTGAATCAGGATTACGCCATAATTGATCCTAGAACATTATTACAAATAAATAAATAAACAAATAAATGATTTCATTAGCTTGATTATTAAACACTATCATGCTGAAGATAATCAATAAAGAAYCAAGTCTTACCAGGAGCTGTGATAGCTCTAAAACCCTTCCTGCTGTGTCAATYGCAATCAAAACATTTCCATTACGGCGTGTAGTCTTTAATATCTCATCTACCAAAATTAAATAACACTGTCATTATTYATTAATACTTTTCCTATAAAACAATCATTTTTTGGTTTATTCATTTACCATTCTATCCATTCTAATTTCATTCACACTTATTTGCTTTGTTCTATACTTTCTGCTCTCCTTAAAAATTACTTACTTTTAAGTTGTGAGTCCCTTTCTCTTCTTCGCGTTTGTACATTCAGCACATTGAATGAGTCWGTAATAAGCAGTGATGGTCTACTTAGGGTTTCTAATACTGCACCATTAAGATGTCTTTCTTTCTTATGATTATAATCCACTGCATAAATAATATCTTCTTCTCCATCTTTCACTATTTTCCACATTGTACCACCTATCATGTGACCAGCTGCATATGGTGTAATTGTAATCCCATGACCTTTGCCTGTAAAACAAAMATTATGTTCACTTAAGCATCACATAATTGATATTGATAAGTTTTCTACRTTATTGATCCTGAGATCCTGAGAGCATAATCTTGTAAATGAGGACCTTCAATAATGACCATAACATCAAAATACATTTAGATGGAGACTTTATTGATATATTCCTAACAAGTTTCACAGTTTGACGAGAAGCATTATTGAATAGAATGAGGTAATTACCTTTCAAGCTGACAGTCTGTGAATATTTAAGTTGAATGATTTTATCAAACACAGCATCAACATCATCCAGTGTGAAGACGTCAAACTCCTCAGAATTGTGATGTGACTGAAAGCATRATAACATCAAGTATAATCGATACATAACTAATCATTGGTAGCAACAATAATTGCTTGAAATCTGTGGTTCTTATTTTGATTGTACAATTCAATTTGTATTTGTTTGAAGTGWAGTACAAAGATGTCAATTTATTGTACCTGAAACCAGTCGTACATGAACATCTGTCCCATTTTATAAACTGGGATAGTRGCATATATGGGGCAATGTAAACTACACTTGCCAACAAGGTATGGCAGACCACCCATATGATAAAGATCAGGAAAGGATATGAGAACAGCATCAACTTGGTGAACATGCCTAAAATAAGTAAGTAAATAATAACTAAATGAAAGCAGAAGATCTTAAATTTTCARTGATTAAGATCCTCACTTTTTAATGTTTTCTATGTGCTCCATTGTTAAGGTCTCGTTCCAACCACAATCCAACAAAAACCTGAACTCGTCAACTTGAAGCATGTAACACAATGGACCCTCATCGTGTGCGCCAGACAGKACAGTTAGCTTGATAATCGACGTCATTATGGATGAATTACACACTTGATGAATCAAATGACTTGCTCCTTCTGAAATCAAGCCATTATATATCACAAAATAACGAAATCTTTAAAGAATGACAAATGTGCTRCTAGTCAGCCGCCATGATGGAATCCCATGAGACCATGCTTCACGTTGTATTGCCTTTGGGCTTCCTGTGGCGATGTCAGAGTAGTGACAGCACAGGTAGCCCAAGCCCACTAGCAGTAAATACAAAGATGTCCCAGAGGATACAACTAAAATGATACGCAAAGCTGAAAAGTGAATTTATTTTACAAAATAATAAAAAAATGAAAKATTTGTTACAAGATTTGTTTATACATATGAGCTTCATGGTTGATCATTGATGCATGCAATAAGTCACGCAAGTCTATTTTATAATATTATTTACAAATGTCTTTATGAGTATAAAATGTTTATTAACCGGATGAAAAGGGAAATCATTGAAGACCCGAAATGTCCCTTTAGATATATTTTAGCATTTKTCATTAGAATTGCACCAAAAGCGTATATCAGTTTTAGTATCCAATCCCATATCATGTGACAGTGACGGGTCTCTTCATTAATTACTACCATAAGGAAACTGATCACCATCCACCAAAAGACTTCCACCTCGATTTCGTCGCCGATGTCGCCAGTAGATGTAGAAAAGAACACCRGCAATACCAAGTACAGCAAAGACAATGACAAGAACAACTATAACAGTGGTCCAAATCGGCCATGWTTSACGTGAACACTCTTTATAYGTGTTTYTACAAACATGATCATCACAGCAAATCATGTCTTGTGAAGAACCACAATCCATTGAAAGTGTACAATATTCACCGTAACACGTTTTCTTGCAGACACCTTCAACTTTGTACTCTTTGTTATTCATGCAACACGATTCTTGTGTTTTGTTGTCTTTCATTAATGGACAATCTTGGTCTTTTAAACACGATTTCTCCGCTCCATAGCTCGCCTTCAGCGCAACCAACACCAAAATTAGTACTAAAGGATTACAGTTCATATTGTTKCTGGTGATATTTATGATAAACGTTTTCTTTGTATCGTATTTAAAACAGAGATCTCTCATATCAACAACGTGCGGTACTAGCAAATCTAATTTATACTGACGAAATCGATGACGTAATGCGTACGATTATCACGCTAAATTATTCGCCGATTCAGTTGATATATTGTACAGGTCCACCTATAATCTTTTTAAAATACTAAGATATACAGTAGTAAAAATGTTTGGTTTTCAATCAATTTGACCGATCATACTTTTATATTTCGAGTTCGAAACTGTACTCAGTACCACCCCCTGTTCCTACACATTAAGCCCCCCWGCACCGTTTCCGATGAATTGTATGTGTTTCATGACATTTGAAAGGTTGCCAATCAAAGGTGCATCATGTCACGAAGACTATATCTTATAGATATCATAGATACGTTTTAATATGCAATTTTTAATTCTTTTTAATAGACTCTATATATTGTACAGCATTATTTACTGGTCCGTATAAACTATAGCGGCCATATTTATGCTTTTCCTCGTGGTTTCATTTCTTTAAAAGCATCCTGAAGATTCTTGTAGAATTTGGTTGGCACTGTTCCATCAGGTTGCAGTTTTTTAGCCTGATCCAGAGCATCTGCCCAGTCTCTTTTAGCACGATCGAGTTCATCTTTTACCCAACTGCCATCATCAGGATTCACATCTTGCAAAGCTGTTATTAGCTCTTGTAAATCATTGTCCAGGGCCCCCCAAGCAGCTTGGAGACTTGAGGCTGCTGCAATTGCACTCTGCAAACCTTTGACGAATCCTTCKATTTGACCTTTGGTTGTCTTGAGACCTGTCAACTCTATTTTGATTCCTGCTAGCTTTTCAGTGGTTTTCTTCTGCTTTTCTATTTGCTGACTGTAGTCTGTGGAGCCCATGGTTTCCATGACTGTACCAGCAGATACAACAAGCACTCCTCCACCTATCAGTGCAGTCGACATACCTCCAGAAGGGATTTCAGAGATGGCACCAAACACAATCATCCCAATTCCTGCAACAATAGTTACTGCTCCCCCAGCCATCAGGCCAATATCTTTATCCATAGCGTTATTAATTGCATCAAGCTCATTACTTAATGATTTGATCTCACCGCTGTCCCCCTCGATTTTGACCGCCGCTTTGTTCACATCTGATTCAAAGTTTTGATAATCGGTGTCAAGGTTGGTGTGGAAGCTGGACAAATCTTTAACAACCTGAGCCACGTTGGCATCCTTCTTCTTAATGGTATTCTGTAGCAATTTGAGACCTTCGACAAACTTTTTTCTTGAGTCGGCATTGTTGAGGTCATTGGCGAGTTTGAGCAAGTCTTCGTAGAAGGCATTGAACTTGTTTGCGTAGTCAATGATATCTGCATCAGTTTTGGCCATCAAKGGAAGAATCGTGTCTTTCCAGGTATTTCCATGAGCACGAGCTGTTTGCTGATGTTTTGGGAGATCAGGAAGAGCATCGAGTTTTAGATCTYCTTGCTGCAGAATGATCTGTACGTAAGTCTGAATAACAGTCGACGATTTGGTAAGGTCAACTTGCTTKGTTTTTAGCTGCGGATTGGATAGGGCACCTTTTTTGTTTGAACTCATCTTCATATAACACGAACAACTTTGTGCTCCTTGTACATTCGGCGGATATGAACTGACTGCCTCACTGCGCGTTTATACTATCAATTACCTCCCACGCGCGTGGGAACGTTTATGTATCGCTTACGTAGTATTCATTTCCGCTGTCACTTATGTCACGTAACGAGACCTGCGTCATAAAGCAGAGAAACAACTTATGTYAGCTATGGAACGTGAGTTTGGTACAAGAGTTACAAATGGTACAGTTGCGTCACTGCTCTTCCTGTACCCCCTCTCCATCCTTACATCAATAGATTAACGTCACACCATGTCGTGTTCACATCACCTGCAAACGATCCAAGAGCCTTCACTCCAAGATGCATGTCCACAGATATCCTGCAAAGCTTTGTCCACTCGACATTTGCTCTCATTACAGAGAATTTGAACCTCGCCACGTGTCTAGGTCAGAYCTTTGTTAGTGAACCATGACGTGCTGATACAGTTAGTTGTGTAAAACCGTAACGCAATTGTATTTGTGCTCACTAAGAGCAACGGAATGCTCAGTTTATTATATCTGGCAAATACTTAAATCACATGGAAATACAACGTTGCATTTCTTCTTTCTTGATTTTCATTTTATTTCTGAAGAATTATATTTTTAATCAATATCATTGCCAAGAACATACTGAAGMCTTTATTCTAAACTATATATGTACATTATTTCTGATGTACAAAGAAAAAGGATATGATATGTGCTTAGATATAACAAACTATTTAGTATGAATAACGTCCATAATATTTTTAACAGTTTTGACTGGCATTTGACCAGTTGGTACCATCTTTCGTGCTAAACTCAATGCATCTTCCCAGTCACTTCTTGCTGTATTCAATATTTTAACTAACCCTAACGACCCTGGGTTRTTGTCAAGATCGGTTACGACCTTTGCCAAATCATCTGACATGACTGACCACTGTTTTTCCAGCTCATCGATTGATTTCAATGCAGCATCTATCTGACTTACAAAGCCATCCAGAAGACTCTTGGCGTGTTTTAGTATCCCAATGGCTTGCTTATCACTGGMCAACTCTTCTTGTAGTTTCTTCTTCTTCTCGAYTGCGAGGCCATACTCTACACCTCCGGTYACTTCGGCAGTGATACCCGTGCCCAGCATTCCGACACCTGCTACGATTAAACCAGTAGACAATCCTTCTGTTTCAATCTCGGCGAGGGAACCAACCAGAATCAACACTATCCCTGCGACTGATCCAACTGCACCTCCTGCCATCGTTCCTATCATGGCGTTAATTTGAGAATTAGTAGAGTCAATATCGGAACTGATCTTTTGGAGTTTGCCATCATTTCCTTCAAGTGTTTTGGCTGCTGTTGAGACTTCTTTAGAAAAGTTCTCATGATCTGCTGATAGTTTCGATTTAAAATCTTCCAGTTGAAGGTTGAGATAGTTGGCGTTTGTCTTTTTGCGACTCACGTTACTTCTCAGGATGTCCAGTCCGTCCTTGAAACTTTTTAGGCCGTCCATTTTTYCAGCATCAATTTCCTCTGCAAGTTTGTGCAAAGTATCATAAAAGGACTCAAACTGGTGTGCAAAGTCGATGATGTCGGAGTTAGACCTGATGATAGCTGGCAGGACCTGTGATGTCCAATTTTCGGCATGATTTCTTGCAGTTGCCTGATAACTTGGCAAATCGGGCAACTCTTTGAGTTTTATATCTGGCTGTTGTAGAATGGCTGCTACGTATGTTTGCACCGCCGCAGAAGCRTTAAAAAGCTCCTTGGCAGCACTTGATATTTTAGAATTAGAAAACGACATGATGATCGACGTTGGATCGTTCTACAAACACCGGGTTCCACTGCTTGAAGATTATCGACAAAGAGAAGTGCATCAAGATAAATACCCTCCTGTGTAGCCGCCCGTTGTCACGTACCATAAACGCGCGAGTAAAACCTGCGTCATCAACCATCGCAGTCACGGAAAGCATACATTGATTGGTTGATTAATTACGTAACCCACAATGGCAGCCCGTACTTCTGAGTCACGACTCAGCACCACAGCAGGAATTGACGTATGGGGATATATAGGTAGGAAAGAAAATGAGATTAAAAAAGCGTTGGCTTCAGCACTCTGTATTCAGAATSCAACAAAAGACTTTTGATTTCTTTAWACAACAGTTAACTCTCTTTGAACGACCACTCTGCTAAGCGACCTTCTACTGTAAGCGACCACCTTTTAAATTTCCCGTTTTGTTCAGTTTCCTATATAAACTCTGTAAAAAAAAAACTTTCTCGTAAGCGACCATCTCTCGTAAGCGACCACTTTTTCCTAATCTCGAGGTGGTCGTTTACGAGAGAGTTGACTGTAATATGCTATTATCTTTTATAGCGCGAGTATTCGATTAGTGCGCATCAGATGAATAACTCTAGTATTTGTAAATATAACAATTTCGCGGCAACTAATAACGACGAAAGCATTTGAGCTTGAAGGAAAACAATTTCATAAGTATTTCTTTCAAGTTCAAAGATTTAGAGCTTGCATTACTTACTATGCCGAAACATTCGTTACATTAAATATTTAACTAAGTTTCGGTTTCAGTTGCTCAGTCTTTTTAAGTGCGACATTCCAATCTTGTTTCGCCGTTTCTAGAATGGGTTTCAGAAAGTTCACTGCATCTGTGTTAGAAAGGTCCTTGAGCTCTCCAGTAACCTCTCCAAAGTCTGCAACCAGGGACGCCCATGCCTGCTCTAGGGATGTTGCAGCTTGACTGACAGGCTTWATGGACACCACGAAGCCATCAATGTGATGTTTAGCAGCATTTAGAGCAAAAAGTTCTTGATTTTTTATAGCAATTTGCTTCTGTACATCTCCCTTAGCGTCTTCCTGCTTTTTCAAGTCAATACCTCCACCAACCGCTAGCCAAAAGCAAATAATCCCCCCTGCAATTAAACCACGATCGCGGTCAATGGCTTTATTTATCGCATCTAGGTGATCTTGAAATGCTTTTAGTTCTCCAGATGCACCKATGATCTTGACTTTTGCTTCTTGCGAATCCATCTGGAAGTTTCTCATATCTTTATCCAGGGATGTCCCGAACTTTCCCAAGTTGTCTCTGACCTTTTGGCTTTGCTTRACGACCACATGAGAAAGATCATGCTTCAAAGAATCAAGAATACTGATAAATTTABTCTTGGCATTTCCGTTCCCATTCTGCAAGTCTAGTATTAAACCTTCTAGTATTTTGCACTTTTCAAGGAAAGCCTTAGAAAATTTAATTGCATCATCAATGCTTCGTTGTATGTAKGGTTTGACTTGTGCTTGCCAGAACTTGGCATGTTGTCTTGCCAAAGATTGATGAGCAGGAAGATTTTCTAGGGACGAAATTTTGATATCTGGTTGAGCTTGAATAGAATGCACATAAGAATCAACCACAATGGTGCCATCTACCACTCCTGACAGCTGCTTAGGAACCTGGGAATTTGAAAGTGATGCCGGCATTCTACATTAAAGCGATGCTTCGCGGTGAGATGATCGGGCTCAGATTGCATGTCACCTAAGGCCAAAAAAATCACATGATCACATGACCAAAATAATAACTTTGAATGATGTAAACTCATTRATGAAATAGCTCCTAAGTGCCTGCCATTACCGCGTCTTCACTGGGTTATGGATTACCGATATCTCAGCTAATAGTGATATTTTAGGAACACCGACCATAATTGAATTTTACTGACACCTTTAAGACTGGACTCCCTCATCGTTAAATATGTGGGTTGCCTGTGCTTTTTGCGTTCTAAGTTACCCAGATGTCTTTGCAAACAATAAATTTTAGAATTAGGCGCCAAAATAAGCTTGGGAAAGAAGACAGTGACTTTCCCTTCAAATTTGGCGGAATTACTGTAAGGTTGGCATTTGCYTTTGTAATACTGAAGATAATAGATGTATGTTTCAGCCAGATGACGAAGACRAAGCACATGGMAG